ACCATATCCATGAACATGCCATTGCGCATTTACAACAACCTTGTCCACTGCAAGCTTCATATCAGCAGCCTTATAGCATTTTTTCTGTATCTGTAAGCTTACAGGATGGCTTGTAATTTCAGACCATTTTAATTGGGTTAAGTGAATTTACTATGAAAAAAAAAGATTGTGAAAAACGTACCTGAAACAGAAAGAAATGTTTAAGTGACAACCATCATATGTTTTGCAGAAATAAATAATAGTTTAGGTCAATTACTTTTTATTCTATGATGCCTGGTGCAAAATTCTATATATGACATTCTATGCACAATTTTGTGATGACCAATGAGGGCAATGATGCATTAATTTTTTGATAAGTGAAATTTTTTTTGCCAAGCGAGGTAAATGTATTCAATATTCTTTGTTTTAAATCAATTTTTTCTTAACTGGAGCATTTGCTTACTGAGATTCTACTGTAAATGCGTTTTTGGGGGTGTCCCGAATAGCCCCGGGGAGGGTGTCCCGAGTAGCCCCACTGTGCAGAAATGGCTACCTTTTTTTGGATTGAGGTATGTAAATTCTGCAAATAAAGTTTTCAAGCTGACACCTGGGTGTAACTTTTATGTAAGTAAAATTTTTTAATATGGCAATTTTTTTATGACAGACCTTAGCAGAAGTACCTAACTTTTCAAAATAGTGTTTTTCACCATTTTTTTCAGGAATTTTTCAAAGCTAGTAAATGTAGTATTTTTTGTCTTCCTTTATACTACATAGATAGAAAAAATTTTGATGTTTACGCCACTATATTTACTTTTGCAATATTCCAATTAGTTTTGCTACTAGGCCTAAAACAGTTTTACGCCGTGTTGGAGGACTGTCCCGAGTTACCCCGCCAGTCCCGAGTAGCCCCAGTTGATGGTATTCCTTGCCACACTCTGGAAGATGTATATAAACGGGGAAATTTCTCGCGTAAATCAATCTAATTATATTTTTTCGCGTAGACGTTCGTGCAAATCACGGTCATCGATTCCGCGCCGCGCAGCACTCGGCGCGGGCCGTGGAGCCGTCCGACACAGTTCTGATTTAGACACAGTTTTCATCTGAATGGAATGGCAACATCGTCTGTAGATGATTTCAAGTAACGCTGAACCAGCATTGCCAGATGGTTTATTTCTATACCAGATTTCACAAATCCGATATTTTCAGAAGGTGTCTGGTATGAATATTTTAGATCTGGTATACCTATATGCCTAAATCTGGTATTTTTCTGGTATTTTCTGACTTAGTGCAAATTTACTGCATTTAGTTCCACCTCTGAAGTTTGAACTTCCTCCAGCGTAGGCGTGGATTATATTATTATTTATATGAATTGCCTTCAGAGCGGCGCAATTAGAACTTTCCTGCCATTTTTGGAACCGCAAGTTTTCATGTCAACCAGAACTCGAACACCACAGCAGAGAGTATTTTATGCAGCTAATGAATTTTGCAAAATTTGCTGGAAGAGAGACTATTGAATTTTAGAAAAAAGGCGGGATAATTCAATGAAGGCTGGTAGCAGAGCTGCAATCTTGATACTCTATTGTGATTTGTGCTATGATAACCTACATAACAATTTTCATATGACAGACCATTGACTTACAGTATCTTGCAAATATATATATTCATATTATGTATCACATAGCATAATTACGCTCTGTAATTATGCCATATTGACCTAATTTGTATAGTCCATTTACGCGCATTGTTATTAGGTATTGATCGTGTCTCTTATACACATCT